CAGGAGCGGGGGCGGGGGGGAGGGTGCAGATGGAGAAGCAGATCCCCGCTGAGCAGAGAGCCCGACGGTGGGGCTCGATCCCAGGACCCCGGGATCACGACCTGAGCCGCCCAGGTGCCCCGCCCCTCCCGGCTTTTAGTGCCAGCCAGTGCGAGTGCTGAGAACTGCCAGGTACCAGCCAGTCGGAGTACTGGTGGCTAAACAATTAACGTTTTTGCTGACGATGTTTTCTCTATTTTGCGAGCGTGCATGTACACGCAGGGTGCACAGTTAAAGAGTAATGATAAAGTGAATTTCCACGTGCCCCCAGCACATCATAAAGCATGGAAAGGAGTCCCTAACACCTGTGTTGCTAGAAGCCCCCGCATGCCCCTCCCCAGACCCCGCAGGAAGCCCCGGTGTGCCCCTCCCCAGACCCCGCAGCCCTGAGCCAGCGCTGTCCCCCTTCTTCCCGCCTGACGCTGGCCTCCGCGTCCCTCACCCTTTGCAAACGGCTCTTGGTCCGTCCTTCTCCCCGTCAGCGTCTACTCTTGTTTATTCCCTCCTCCACCCGTTCCTGTCTGATCAGGGAAGTCCTGGTCTCGCGCTTTTGTCTCTCTGGTGGCAGCTGGGGAGACTGAGACCAGTGGTTCTTAATCGGGCCCCCAGGGATCTTGAGAGTATCTGGAGACAGTTTGGGTTTGTTGTAACTGGGGAGAGGCTGCGACTCTGGGTGGGTGCCTGGGATGCTGGTGACACCTGTGTGCACCGGACACCTGGCCGAGAAGTCAGTAGTGCCACGCCCCGGGGTCCTGGTCTGAGGTCGTCGTGGGGGTTGGGAGGAAGCCAGGGTCAAGAGAGTTCAGGAACCCCCGACAGTGGTATCTGCCTCCCCCCAAAAAAGGGCTGTGGTCCAAAACCAAGGGTCCCCTCTAGAGGTTGGCACGTCCAAAGGGTGGACTTCATACGAGTGACCGTCCAACCCAGGCGGACAAGATGAGCCCACTTGCCTGACACCTGCATCTCCACTTTCCCGGGGAAAAACCTGGTGATGGCAAGCAGTCGGACGGGAACCTATCAATCCCTCATCAGTGACTTCATAAGGGAAGAGCACCAGCCTATGGTTCTACATGATAAAACCGGCCTTTCAACTCAAAAATTGCTTAGCGAACTTATCTTGCTATTTTATTTTTTTAAAGATTTTATTTATTTTATGTAACAGAGAGAGAGAGAGGGAGAGCGCACAAGCAGGGGGAGCGGCAGGCTTCCCGCAGAGCAGGGAGCCCGATGCGGGGCTCGATCCCAGGACCCTGGGATCATGACCTGAGCCGAAGGCAGATGCTTAACCGACTGAGCCACCCAGGTGCCCCTAGAATTTTATTTCTGGGTAGGGAATGAGGTAAGGGTCTTTCTATGTTTTCACATCAGAAAATAGCAAACTACATAAACAGTGAATTCAGTAAGAAATGCTTTTCCTGCTAATTAGAAATATTACTTCAGTAGCATATTAAATTCCTATACATATCTGAATGTTTCTGGACTCTGTCTGGTTCCATTTCTGTGTGAGTACGTTCCGGGGTTTTTATTCAGGTTTTTTTTTTTATTAAAATGTTTTATTTATTTATTCATGAGAGTCAGAGAGAGAGAGAGAGAGAGGCAGAGGCAGAGGGAGAAGCAGGCTCCCCGCCGAGCAGGGAGCCTGATGCGGGACTCGATCCCAGGACCCTGGGATCATGACCTGAGCCGAGGGCAGACGCTTAACCAACTGAGCCACCCAGGCTCCCCTTACCTTGCTATTTTAAAAACCATTTTATTGACTTACACAGAAACATGTACATTTTATAAGTTTAATGTTTGGCCTTGGAAGTATTTTTTTTAATTAATAGACTATTTTTTAGAGTAGTTTTTGGCTTACAGAAAAATTGAGTACCAAGTTCCCGTATACCCCTTCTTTCACCTCCAAGTTTTTCCCATCATCTTGCCTTAGTGTGCTAGCTACACTGTTACAGTCGATGAACCAAGGCTGGTACGTTATTAACTAAGTCCATAGTTTTATTAGGATCACGCCCTTTTTGTTGTATATTCTGTAGCTTTTGACCAATGTGTAATGACATGTCCATCGTTACAGTAAAATACAGAAGAGTTTCAGTGCCCTCAAAATCCCCCGTGCTCCGCGCACTCGTCCCCGTCTTGTTCCCCCAGCACTTGGCAACCGCTGATCTTCTGTCTCCGTAGTTCTGCCTTTTTTCACAGTGTCATGTATCTGGAATCATGCAGTATGTAGCCTTGTCAGAGCCTTGATAGCGTTTTGCAAGTTACTTAAATAGCACAAATCCAGAAGAACCCATCAGGAGTGCAAGGGCCATCCAGGGACTCCCTGGATCTATTTGCTAGAGCACCAGCCCTCAGTGTTTCACACTGAGTCCCCACGCATACACATCTTCACGTCTGGGGTTTGGAGAACTGAAGGTCAACAGTCTGTGATGCAGATGGTTGGCCCTGGACATGGTAGGGCTGAATCAACCGCAGACGAAATTGGTAATGATGAAGGCACATGAATAGCATGTTGTAGTTAAACGCAACAGTGGTGCAGTTGTCAACCAGACAACGGATTGCAAGATGCCTGCCCACCAAAGGTAGGATCGGGGGTTCCCGCTGCCTGCGTGCTCCTCGCAGGAGCTGGGCGATTTGCCATACGCTCGGCGAGAGGTTCAGAATAGCTCTTAGCTCACCAGGCACGTTATTTTATGCTACAACAGGAAAGCCCCCCCCGACAGGAAGAAATTGTTCTTGGCTAATGAGTCAAATTGGGCATTTGGAATTTCCCCTGAGTTTCCTCTGCCACTCCGCCCTGCCCAGCCCTGAGACATAATCACTGTAGGCCCAGTTCTGATCACGTGGCTCGGTGGCCCGTGGTTCTCCTCAGACCAGTGGCCTCCGCCTCCCCCGTGAGCCTGCTAGGACTGCAGATGCACACCTCCCCTTCCCCAGCAGACTCTGAATTCCCGATGATGAGGGCCAGGAAACGGGGCGGGGGGGTCCCCGGCCTCCCCCACACTCCGGGACACCTAGCTGGCTGTCCTCCTGTAAACTGAGGGGGTGGGAGGGTCTATGAATGCCCCCCCCGCCGCCTCTCCCCGATTCCTCTGAGGAAAGCTTGCACCTGCGTAGGAACTGCTGGGTGTGGTGTGCTTGGCGCTTGCTAGGCTTTTGGTTTACACGCTGACCAGCAATGACCTGTCGGCTTGTTTTAACTGGAGAACGTTGGTGACCTTCTCCAAATGACTTTATTCTTAGCTGCGATGTGAGCCCAGTGCTTGCTGCTCCTGCCTCAAACCAAAGGGCAGATGTCAGCCCTGCCCGGTGGAACATTCCACAGGGACGGGATTGGTCTACCTCTGCCCTCTCCAGTAGGGCAGCCCCCGGCCACAGGGGGCTGCTGAGCATCTGAATTTACATAACTATGAATAAAAGACTTTAATAAATTTCATAAGTGACTGAAGTGCAAAAAGCCTCACGTGGCTAATGGCTGTCGATGGGACGCTGCGGGTCTGCGTCATCCGTTCCCTAAACTGTCTTGGGTAAGACCGTTTACTCTGCCTTGAGCACCACTACCAGGGAGGTGACAATCGGGGACGTTATTGTTTCCCATGCTAGTAATCACCAAAACAAGGCATTTTTCCTCTTTCAGGCAGTTTTTTACATGAATCATTTATTTGACTATTCTTTTTTTTTTTTTTAAGGTTTTATTTATTTGACAAAGAGAGACACAGTGAGAGAGGGATCACAAGCAGGGGGAGTGGGAGAGGAAGGAGCAGGCTTCCCGCGGAGCAGGGAGCCCGATGCGGGGCTCGATCCCAGGACCCCGGGATCATGACCGGAGCCGAAGGCAGACGCTTAACGACTGAGACAGCCAGGCGCCTCCTTATTTGATTATTCTAAGACCATACTTTTTTTTTTTAAGAGTTATTTATTTATTTATTGGGGGTGGGGAGCCCAATGCAGGGCTCGATCTCACAACCCTGAGATCGTGACCTGAGCCAAAACCAAGAGTCGGATGGTTCAACGACTGAGCCACCCAGGCGCCCCAAGACCATCCTTTTTAAAACTTAAGTATAGGTCGCTTCATATCATGGCTTCCTGCTTTTGTGCTCTAAAAAACTGAGTGCTGTGGGAGAGGTAAGACCTCCCCAGATACGTTCTTAAAATTGCAAGTCTCAATAAGTGTCTACGAAGTTATTGCTTGATATGCTGTCCTCTAAAAGTAGTGGGTAAAATTTGAGAGTGTAACTTCTAAGAAACTCTGCGACTCCATTGTGTGCCCCTCTCTTTCCCCAGAGGCCAAGAAAGTGCTGTGCATCACGGTTGCCCTGGGGGCCGTCCTGGCAGGAGCCGTGGTGGCCGCCGTCCTGCTCTGGAAGTTCAGTAAGTGTCACAGGGGGGCCCAGTCTTCCCGATGTGCCTGCTCTCCGTGGGTGGACCTCCAGCCCTTCCTGCAGTTTCTCTCCCCCAACCAGCTGTCTTGTCTTTCCTTCTCTTTGGTGATGGGGACACATGAATAACCATTCTCGTCCGATCGCATTGTCCGGGTGGTTATGAGTGACTCTTGTGCTGTGAGTGGAGTACTGACCCGCTCCGACTACATCCAGTGCTTTGGGGCGCTGGGCACTGCCCGGCACCGGGGAAGCACAGACTCCCCGCCTTGGGGCCACACCTGTCCCCTAATCTCGGGGTGCCGCATCACCTGCTAGGTGCTGGGGCGTGCCCGTCCTGTGCCAGCTCGTGAGCCACAGCCAGCCTTTTCCGTCAGCCCGGGGCAGTGCACACTCAGGCTTTGATGGGGCACAGATTCACTGTGGCAGAGGGGACGTGGGCTGCTGTCCAAGTCCAAGGCCACGGGCCCCTCCCACTCGATGCACCGGGGGCTACTTTGCTGCTGACTGCCGGCCCTGTTCGCTTTGCTGTCGATGGTGGCAGGGACACATCTGCTCCTTACTAAAATAAACGGGGGAAAGGTTCTTCTCTCCTGTTGCTTGGGGCCCGGAGAGTGGACTCTGGAACTCGTGGCGGGTACGTGAGGTTTTCTTGGCGTCTCGGGCTGACTGGGTCTCCCTCCTGTCTCTCTGCAAGTGGAGAACAAATGCTTGGTGGCCGGGGTAGAGTGCGGCTCCTCGGGAACCTGCATCAGCCCCTCTCACTGGTGCGACGGGATCCTGCACTGCCCCAGCGGGGAGGACGAGAACCGATGCGGTAAGTCAAGGCACTGTGTGCACCTGTGGAGGCCACCAGTCTGCCCTGGTGCCCAGCCTGCAGCCCGTACCCGGCGTGGTGGCCAGCCCTGTGTCCAGCGTGGCCACCCATTAGGTCACCGAACCGCGACCTGGAGGCTGCGCCTTTGGTCTAACCCCAGATGAGGAGCCAGGCTCAGAGAGGGTGCGCTCCTGGCCCAGCATCACACAGCGATGGGAGGGAGACGGCGGGGCTGGGGCCACTCGGACGGTGTGCTCCCAAGCGGAGAGTTGGGAGTGCGCTCTGTATTTTCAGAGCCAGCTCGCCTTTAACGTGATGTGTAGGTCTTGTCACAGAGCGGGCACCTGGCTCTGGCTTTTTATTATTTCCTGTTAATTGTTAGGAGTGATTTCAAGGGTGGTGAAGTGGATGTCCTGGAAATGGTGCCTGAGCAGGCGGGGTGCCCATATCCACTGGCGGCCACCCGCAGCGTGACCCTGACCCCGGGGTGGGACCTGTTTCCCAGTCGCCTCCGTGTCGTGCGGGTGGGCGGACCTGGAGGGGCCAGTCTCGTCCGCCGTGCATTTAACTGACCCCCACCCCTGCTGTGGAGCTGGCCCATTTCTCCTGACGAGCTTTTAGTTTGTCCTCCCGCAGAACGTGTTAACCAACCAGCCAGGCTGGACGCGCGGGGCCGTGGCCGTGGTGCTGCGGGACTGCGCCCCCGAGTCCTGCTTCCTGCTGCACGCTCTGACATGCTTACCGGAGAACCTCTTGTTTTCAAACAAACAGACAATTCAAAATTGCAGCATCAGAGGGATCACCAGGAATACCACGAGCAGCTTTCCTCTTCTCCCCTCAGGTTTCTCCTAACTCCTCAGGGTTTCATTTAAACACGGGCGGGGCCCTGGCGGGCGGAGGATGGATGCAGGTCCCCTTTCTTGTCCTGCACTATCCCCTGTGGGGATGCTGCCCTGCACGCCCTCCCCGCCCGGTCCCAGCTCTGTGCGGCCCTTGGGGTCACCTGTGTCCGAAGTGGATGCCACCGTGTCCCGCGATCTGCGCCCGCGTCCCAGGGACTGTCTGCACTTGGCAATGACCCACTCGAGCCTTAAACTTTCAACACAGCGCCGCCTTGCCTGTGTGTTGGTGATGATGTGTTTGTCACCATCCCTTAAGTAGGGGGTGTCGAGGCTCATAGTGCGTGGTTAAGCTATCACGCGTGATGGCTTTTGTGTTTTCATACATGTGCACGCATGTGTGCAAGGAGAAACTCGAGCAAGACAAACTTGTTCTGTTCCCTGCAGACTCTCCCCTCCCTCCCTCTCTTCTTAATGTTTAAGTTGTGTTTATTTAAATACTTTGAGTTAATATCCTCAAATAGATCAAAATCAGGAAGTACCAAAGGATGTACAGGGAAAACTTCTCCCCCACTGTGCTCACACACACACACACACACACACACGCCCATTCACCAGCCAATCACGCTTCTTTCTCAGGGGCAACAAATACACGTTTCTTGCTTCTCCTTCTGGAGAGTTTTTAAGTGCGAAAGCAAATACGTGTGTGCGTATTTCCTACTGTCCTCACTGCTCACTGCTCACTGCCCAGCTGACCGCACAGGTCTTGATGACACATCCTGGGGACCCTTTGTGGTTGGGACAGGAGCCCCCGCTTTCCCGTGGCGGCACACCCCATGCTCCGGTGTGTGGCTCCAGAGCCCTGGGCGTCCTCTCTTCTCGATGGACATAACACGCGTGTTCCAACCGTAGGAGCACATCGGTCGGGAACACCCCCAGAAGTAAAACTGCTGGGTCCGGAGCATTTGCACATTTGTAATTTGGTAGACCCACCTGAATTTGGGATTGTAGAATTTCCACATCAGTTATTTATATAAAACAAGATAGATGAACACGGCATTGTGTATGTATTCTGTATCAGATCAGAACACACATTTGATGTGCTTTTAATTTGTCCACCTGTCGAGTGGAAATTATTCTCAATGAAATGCACATCTTCTGACGATAAAGAGCATCACCCGTCCCGTGGATAAAGTTCAAGTATATGTGGAGGGCTTTCTTTTCCTAAGAGTATGTGCGTATATGTGTGTGTGTGGGTGTATTATATATATATGTGGAACGTATGCATATCGTTAAGACTAGTTTACTTTCTACATCTGTTGCCATGGTTTCGGTGACCGCTCAATGTCACAGGAGAAACCGAAGGGCGGCTCGGGGTGACCCAGTGAGCACACGGTTTTGTACACTTGAGCCTGGCTGAGAGGGAAGACCTCAGGTGTTCTCACCACAGAGGAAAGTGGTAGCTGTGTGAGGCGACGGGTAGGTCACCCAGCCTGATCGATCGTGGCACCCACTTCACAGTGTGTGCATGCCTCTGAATGCCAGGTCATACCCCTTAAGTATATACCATTGTTCTTGGTCAGTTGTACCTCAGTAAAGCCGAAAAAATTCCCAAGACTTAAAAAAAGAGAAGAACTTGGGGCGCCTGGGTGGCTCAGTTGGTTAAGCGACTGCCTTCGGCTCAGGTCATGATCCTGGAGTCCCGGGATCGAGTCCCGCATCGGGCTCCCTGCTC